CAGGTGAGATAATGGAGGGGCTGATAAGAGATTTGATTAATAAAGAATTAAAGAAGGATATTGTAATTAATGCAACAACATGGATTTATGGAAAATAAAGCCTCTCAAACTAACCTAATACTTTTTTTTAGGAGATTACAAGTTTGGTTGATAATGGTAATGTGTTGACATAATATACTTAGATTTCTATAAGGCATTTGACTGCACGATATTTTGATTAACAAACTAGAATGATATAAAATAAAATGATATGCAATGTAACTGTAAACATGGAATCATCATAGAGTGGGTGGGTTTCCAGTAGGGTCGGCAGGAATCAGTTCTTGGCCCTATGCTATTTAACAATTTTATCAATGATCTGGAAGAAAACATAAAAACATTACTGATAAAGTTTGCAGCTGACACAAAAATTGGGAGAGTGGTAAATAATAAAGATGAGAGATTACTGATTCACAGTGATTTGGATCACTGGGCAGAAGCAAACAATATGTATATTAATACAGCTAAATGTAAATGTATACATCTAGGAAAAAGGAAAGTATGCCATGGGGGAATTCTATCCTGGGAAGCAGCAACTCTAAAAAAGACATGAGGGTTGTAGTGAATAATCAGCTGAATAGATGCTCCCAGTCTGACACTGTGACCAAAAAGAGCTAATGCCATCCCGGGATGCATGAACAAGGGAATCTTGGAGGAGTAGAGAGGTTATTTTTCCTGTATATTTGGCACTGCCACTGCTGCTGGAATACTGCATCCAGTTCTTGTGTCCACTACTCAAGAAGAATATTGATAAATTGGAGAGGTTCAGAGAAGAGCCACGAGCATAATTAAAGGATTAGAAAACATGCCTTACAGGAGTAAACTCAAAGAGCTCAATCTATTTAGCTTAACAAAGAGAAAATTAAGGGGTGACTTGATTACATTCCCATGTGGGGAACAAATATTTAATAATGAGCATTTCAATCAGGCAGATAAAAGTATAACACGATCCAATGGCTGGAAGCTGAAGCTAGACAGACTGGAAATAAAGTGTACATTTTAAAGTGAGAATAATTAGATTCTTGAACAATTTATCAAGGGTCGGGATTCTTCGTCACTGACAATTTTTAAATCAAGCTCGGATGTTTCTCTAAAAGATCTGCTCTAGGACTTATTTTGGGGAAGTTCGATGGCCTGTGGTATATAGGAGATCAGACCAGATAATCATAATGATCCCTTCTGGTATCTATTCTCTCAGATCCTGCTCAGAGGAATCACATAGCCCAGAATCTAATGGAAGTACAACTGGACCAGAATGTTACTTTTTGGGGAGTAGGGTGTATGGAGGGACAGAGATGTGCTAAAGGAAGAAGAAGAGAAGCAAGGAGAGTTCCTGTGTGAGGCAAGAGAGACTTTTAAAACCGAGAGCTTGCTCTGTGATTTTGGGATCACATTCTTTGAAGTTTTCATTAAGAAGAAAAACACTTTGCCAGATTAAATGCCATTCCCTGAATTCAGGCCAAAATGTTCTCTCCCTCTCTTCAGCAGACATGTGGATGCTTAACATAATCTGAGGATTTATTACAGCTTTGTACTTGAATAAGTGTCATCAGCTCTCGGTATGATCAGGAATGGCTAGTTTTCACTGAGATTGTTATTCTGCATACTCTTTCATCTCTCTCAATCTGTAATAGTTAAGAGTATATTTTGCCCTCATTCCAAACTCCCTTTGATATTAACATTAATGAGAGCTCTGCCTGCAGACTTATGGGACAGCAGACCTGTTAGCATGGTATAGATTTGATACTAATTATTATTTTATTACTGATGATTTGCATGGTGATAGTGTATACAGGATTGATCCAAAGCCCACAGAGAGGAAAGATCACCCAGTGGTTAAGGTGCTAGCATGAGACTCTCTCTCTGTCTGAGTTCCACATCTGTAAAATAGGAATATTTGTCCTTCCTTTCCTAGCAGGGATGTTGTGAGGATACATACATAAAAAGATTGTGAAGTCCTCAGATAGTTTGGTGATGGGAGTCCAGGGCCGGCTCTACCATTTTTGCCGCCCTGTGGGAGTCATATAAAGCCTGATTTTCAAGAGCTCAGTGCCTAGCAGCTCCCACAGAGGCACCTAAATAAATGACCATGTTTTCAAAAGAGTTCAGGCATCTAAATGAAGCAGCACATTTTCAACAGCACTCAGCAGCCAACAGCCCCTATTGTTCGGCAGTCATTTTCTTCTTATGACTAGACAGTATGATACATACTAACTACCATAGATCTGTTCTGTAGTAACTATTGCAGAACTTTCCGGTGCCATTTTACTATGAAGGGGGAGCATACAGAGGGCCCCTCAGCATTTACAACATATAGTGTGTGTAGTGACCACATAACGGACAATTGTGCAAATATTACAAACACTCAACTGAAATCAATGGGGCTAAGTCACATGATTGAGGAATAAATGTATGAGTAAGGCCTGCAGTTTGGGGTATTAAATAAGCAATTACTAGCACAATATGAGTATGCTGTAAATTAAGTGTCCACTTCTGTGACCTTTATTCATGAGTACTTCCACTCACTTCATGAAACATGATATCAACATGCTTGTTTTGCAATGATCTCTATGCCAAGCTTGTGGCTGGTTCACTTTTACAGCACTTGGAACAGTATTTCAAGACCACGCTGACTTTGAATCACTGCTCACTGCTTCTTTCTTTCTTTTCAACATATATTTTAGAGGTTAGTCTCTGCGCACATATGCAACAAAAGCGGAAAAGATGTTCTGTACAAAAGAGATAAAGGATATAAAGGAAAATGAATGCAGAAGGTGAAAATCTCTAAAAGACTATAAAGCAGATGCACATGTAAAGGATGAAATGAGGCCAGTGGAAGACAAACTTGCAAATTTAATGCAGAATTATATGTTAGTTGAAAGAGAAATTCTTAATCCATTGAGGGTTGTCTGTGTTTGGAGTTGAAGATTTTTTCCCAAGACACTTCTATTGAGACACCCTGCAAGGTATCCCAAGTCAGAAAAAAACCCCAAAACCAACAACCGTCCTGCAATCCCTAAACACAGTAGCAGCCTTATTTTTATTAACTACTTTGTACAGTGTAAATAAGTCAACACAGAAGAACCCTTGTAAATATTACTTGCTCATCACATTCTAATAAAGAAAACAAACACTAATTGTATTTCACCATATTGCAGAAAAGATCTGCAAGTTTTAAACTTTCTACATGTAGGCAGAGAAATTTGTCCGTGTGCAGTGCAGCTCTTCTCTGAAAATTGGCTACGTAAAAATGGCACTGTAAGGTTCCATGTTTACTGTCTCTCAATCATTCCTTATTAAATATGCTCTGTTATAAGTAATTTTTAAAGCCAGCTCCACAAACTAAATCTGGAATTTGCAAATAATCTAGGATCTCTTCTTTTTGTGCATCACCAATAATAGAGGTTCCACAGGACAGATATTGCCCTCAGTGATACTTCTGCAACTCCCTAAACCTCAGTGGGCTTGCACAGGTGAAACTGAACGGACTTTAGCAAACAATACTCAAGACTAGTAGTCCTAAGCCTTTTCTATACTGGCAGTTCCTTAGTAATAACGGAACAGCAGAGTGGTTGTGACCCCTTAACACCTCTTTGTGACCTCCGATTGAGAACCCATGCTCTAGAAGATGCCAGAGGAGAAGAGAACCCAGCTTCTTTCCTCTTAGCTGTGCTGGCTCTGCCTAGCTAACAGGAGCAAAAAGCAGCAAAAACATATTTTGTCATTAAAATCAGCATATGGGACTCTGATTACACAAGAGGAAGAAGGTGGCCTTTTTCCATACTCTCTGTTCCTCGCAGAACCCCCCTACAGTAATCAATGCTTGAAATGGGAGGGTGGGAATTATGTCACACCTCCTTGTCTTACTGCAGTCTGTTGAAAGAGAGGGAGTTATATAAAGGTGGAGGAGATTAGAAAATTTGGAGCATGCCATCATTTCCCCCCTCCAATTACAATACTAGAGAGATTCATTTAACTCCTTCCTAACCATACCTGCCAGGCTAAGTAGTATTGTGAATCCTTTGCAAAGAAGTCTGGTGCATTTAGTAAGAATATTTTTTAAAGCTGCAGAGGAAGCAGACTATTAAATTCAAGTGTTGTCATCATCATCTTTCTGAACAAGAGAACGGATGGCAATTTTTTCCTAAACTTCTATTTTTCCTTTTTTCTTTAGCCAATTGCTGCAGGTTTAAAATACAGAGTTGAGTATTTGCAAGGATGGCTCCTCTCACAGCAGCGCCTCTAGGGAAAAAATGCCTACAGAAAGCAAGAGGATTTGTGGTCTGACTCAATCTAATGTTGTTGGCTCTTCATTTGTCTAGGTCAACATGTAAAGACCCAGTACTAGGCTCATACAACTGCTATTTTCTGAGACCCTATTGGCTAAAAGGCTTCCTGGTTAAAAAAAAAAAAAAGTATGTAAGCAAAACTCAATGAATGGGCTTACACAGTATCTGATAATTACATTCATTGGCTTCTCAGACAAAGCAGCTAGCATCTGAAATGCCGACAAATTGTAAAACAAATGTAAGGCAAAAAGAGTATTGTTGTATTGCCTAGAAGCTAAATTTGGTTACATAAGGCAGTTTCATAGCTGTTTATATTCCTCTTTTCACAATAAACTAGTGCTAACTGAATCTTACTGCTTGACTCTTCAGTACTTGAAATAACACCAGACCCCATATTTTAAGAAAGTGAAAAATACTAAACTTGTTCCTGCACATCCTTGGACTTAAGAAACTGTGTATTTATAAAACAACCAACATTTTAGGAGGAAGAGGAGAGAGAGGGAGAATTAGAGTAATACAGTACTCCCTTCTCATTACTCTAGAAAACTGGGGAGAATGTTATCACTATCAAATTAACTACATTCATAATTAGAGTTGCTGATAACATAAAGTAGGAAAGACAATGGAAGAGACAGAAGGCAACAAAGTTCTAATATTTGCACAGCACCCTACCTCCAGAATATCTATCAGGACATTCTCTTCTGGCTGCTTAGTGCTCCTGACATTCTCTAATAAAATGGAGTAGTATACACCCTGTGGGTCAGATTGGTACAGGTTGTACGTGTCTGTCTGGTACCATTCTTGAACAGCCACAAATACTTGGTTTTCATCTGTACTGATAATCTGTAAATCCTGCAGAAAAAGAAATAAAATACAAGATTAATCATAATGGGCAATTAGAAAAAAGATACTATCTTGCCTACCTGACAGAAAACAAACTGGTCATGAGAGTCAAGTGCCAGAGAAAAGAGATACACCTTAAAGATCCCCGACTATGAGCTCTCTCAGCCTAGGTACTAGGAAAGCTACTATATCCTATCTGAGTAAAGATTATGGGATATAGAATTTTCACCTAGAATTTGGAATCCAAGCCACTTATTAATGCAGGAGGAGGTGCTTTTGTTTCTTGTTGGAAATGGTCTAGAGTTCTTAAACCAATGACTAATCAACAGGTTTCTGCACCACAAAACCTCCACCAATATGCACATTTGCAGCAGAGATGCCTAAGACTGAGGGGACACAGAATGTGAATTACTCTCACAAGACAGACAAAAGTCCATGAAATCTCCTTAAGATCTAAAATAGGATGAGAGGCAACCACCAATTAGGACAGAGATATATTACAAAGAGACCCAGAGAATAAGAAACAAACTCTTTGTGGCAGAGACCATGTCTTTCTATGTGTTTGCAGAGCACTGAGCGCAGCAGGGCCACTGAGTGTTATTGTAATATAAATATTAAATAATAACAACAACATTCTGCATTCATTCCTCAATAATTTCATGCTTGGCTTATTGCAATAGCCTCTTTTCTGGACTCCTTGTTTCCTCTCTCCATCCTCTGCAGGGAAAAATGCAGGCTAATACATCTTGGGGAAAATAGTCCAATACACAACTATTCAATCAGAGGAAGAAATCAGGAAGTAGCAATGCTGAAATAGACAGTAATAGCGGACAGAAAATTGGACCTGTGTTTGCAATAGGATATGGCAGCAAAAAGGCCAATGCAATTTTGGGCTGCATACATAGAAGCATCATATCAAGGGAGAGAGATTATTACCCCTTTCTATGAACTTGGTTGCAATAACACCGGGCATATTGTATTCAGTTCTGGTCACCTTATTAATGGAGAAATACTGACAAACTAGAAGGAATTCAGAGAAGCGCTTCCAAAAATAGATAGGTGGCAGGAGGGAATGATCTGAGTAAATATGTAACAAACACCTTTATTACATTTCTATTTCTTTACATAGAAGTAACAAGAGTTGACTAGGTGCAGAAGAAGAGGTGACTATATATAGGAATGGTTACACTGCACAGCAAGCACCTCTTTGGAAGGTATATATAATGAAAAGCTACACAAAAACATTTTTGTATATAATGTCTCATTGAATCAAATTCATCACTCCAGGTTATTTTTAAAATGTCATTGATACATCTGCCAAAACAAATGAACCTGTGGGAAAGGTCTCTGTTGTAGATAAAATCTCCCACATGTGGTTGATCTCAAGGCCATTCTCCAAAGCCCTGCAATTAAAACTTTGTATTGAATCAGAAGTAGATTTTTATTTTTTGTTAGCATCCCATTAATGGAACTCTACTGTCTTAAATTGCCAGCACCATTCATAAATAAGCAAGAGGATGGGTATGCAACATCTGGTAGTTCACCATAACCCATGACGAACATCATATGTGCCTTCCCTGACACAGCCTGAGAATAGTTATGCTGCGAATCCCATTAACAAGGATGGAGGGGGAGGAGAAATAAATTACTAAAGAGTATAGGAATAAAGAGTTTGAAAGGGTATCCATTAGTGAAAAGTTCTAAAAAACCCTTAAATTGTTATCATAGCTCTTAGCAGCCCTTCAGCAGAAGTCTTAAGAGCATTATTATAGTAAAATGTTTATAATGTGTCATAAACATACACAATGCTTTACAGAACACAGATAAGACATGTTCCTTTCCCCAAGTGATTAGAATCTAAATAAAGTGAGAAAAGCAAATGCAGGATGAAACATAGGTCAAGAGTGCAAAAGAGGGTGCCCCTGAGCGCTACTATTGATCAGAATGTGGGAGGAGGGATTACTTAGAGATGTGGGGTTTACACATGAATTTAAAGGAGAAAAGATAAAGCAATTTTCAGATAAGCTGTGAGACTGGTACCAGACACAGGGGGAACAAAGCTGAGAATGGGAGATGTGGCTAATCTGATTCTCATCTCACTTGCATCAGTTTTACCCTGATGTAGCTATATTGACATCCACGAAGTTACTCCTGATTTGCACTGATGTAAATAAGAGAAGAATCCAACACTAAGGAGAAAAGGCAAGAGGATTGGGAAGAGGTATGTGAAAGCAGAGAAGTAGGTGTATGCAAGAATAGATGCGATTTTGTGTCTGAAGATGAAGCATTTGAATTTTATGTGTTAGGAGATGGGAAGTCAATGGAAGTTCAGGAGGAGTTAACATGATTGGAGAAGTGAGAGAAGAAGATGACTTTGGGTACGTCTATACTTACCTCCGGGTCTGGTGGTAAGCAATCGATCTTCTGGGATCGATTTTTCGCGTCTTGTCTAGACGCGATAAATCGATCCTGGATCGATCCCGGAAGTGCTCACCGTCGACGCTGGTACTCCTGCTCGGTGAGAGGAGTATGCGGAGTCGACGGGGGAGCCTGCCTGCCGCGTGTGGACTCGCGGTAAGTTCGAACTAAGATAGTTCGACTTCAGCTACGTGAATAACGTAGCTGAAGTTGCGTATCTTAGTTCGAAGTGAGGGGTTAGTGTGGATCAGCCCTTTAACATAGGATTTTTGGATAGACTGGCAGGGGACAGCTGGAAGGCAAGAAGGCCAGACTGGAGGAGTTTATACTAATTAATATGTTTCACTAACTCTTCTCTTCCAATTGCAACTATCAATAGTAAGAAAGTGGAGTGTGTACTCATCCTGTTCAAGATGCCAGTCGCTACTTTTTATGTGTCTGGCAGGAATCAGAATGCTGGTATTAACAGAGGGTAATCAAATCTGCCTTTCACCCCTAGGCATAGTCTGTTCCATTCAGGTTTTACACTGCAGATTTTTATTTTTCGGTTCAGGATTACTGATATCTTTTCACCATAATCTATTTCAATATATTTCCCCAAGCATTTACAACCCCATTACTTGGTTATACTGCCTTCCAACAGTCCTGAGGAACATCATCTGGACAAATGTTGCTGATATAACTCTGAGGAAATTAACTGAAGTAAGGAAAGATGCAAGTTTCGTACCTGGTTTTAAAACATCTTTTAAACTTCTGAATGGTACATGAGTTGCGCAAAGCAAGCTAAAAGAAAGTTACAAACAATCCCCTCTCCTGTTCCCTTTCCTTGCTCATATTACCATCTTCCACCATTAGAGCTAAGCTGGAGAAATGGTCATCAAGGATAAAAGCTTAACAGACTTAAGGCTCAGTTTTGTAAGGTGCTAAGCACTCTCAGTTCCAATTGACTACAATGGGTGCTCAGCACTTCACAGGGGACATTTAGCACTTTGCAAGACTGGGCCCTTAGCAAATGTTGCTAGGCAGGACTTCCTGTTGATAGGGAAAAGTTTAACTGGTAAGATAGTGTGTGTGAGAGAAAATATCTTGTTCCAAAGAAGGCAATTTTTATTGCTATATCTAATTCATTGCCTGCAGCCACACTATGTCACGCTGTGATCTCAGCAGATCCTGTAAACTATGCATTCATTCTTCCCTTCTGCAGGCTATTCAAAGCCATGCTGCTCTCTTAATTTGCCATTAACCTTCCTACCTGCACATTATTTATTTGATTTCATTGGCTCATGGCCATTCAGCTGACTTTAATAGTCCTCAAGAACCTGGAATCCTTCTACTGTCTGAAGTCAGGTTTTGGTGTATTCTAGCACATTTGCTGTGCTCATGTAACATTTGATCGCTAGTACTTTCATTTCCATATTTAAATTATAGAGTTGCACATTTGGGCCCCCTGTGCCAGAACTGATCTTCCTTGCAGCGAAAATGATCTTCCCTGCTTGCTTCTCCAACCATGTCATCCCCTCTAATGGAATTTCTCCAGTGGCTTCCGATCTTGCACATCATTTTCACTCCTGTTCTCATCAGTACTTGCAACACCTTTGTTCCATCATTCAATCCCGCCTCACACTCCATTCAGCTCCTTCTCCTGAGATCATCCTCATGCCTTCTTTCATGTGACCTCATGCCTGGAATGCCCCATTCACTATGCCAAGTGCCATCCTCTCCTTCCCTGAAATAGCTCCTCAAAGCTCACTTCTTCCCCCAAAGGTAACCCATGTCAGAAAAGATCATCCGGGTCACCTCACTGCATTGCCTCTGTTTTATTTTACCTTTTTAGGTTGCAAGCTCTCTGAGGCAGGGACCATGTCTCCCTATGTGCTTTGTACAACACTGAGCACACGCTAAATAATAGTAATATAGTTCAGGCTCCTCCTCCACACTTATAAGGCTTTCATCATACCTCCCTGTCTACATCTCAACCCTTGTTTCCTCTGACCCCTCTCTTGTGCGCTATGTTTTGCCAAATAATCCTGTCATACCCTCCCCTTCATCATCATCTTTCTCACTCATGACTAGAGCTGTGCAATTTTTCCACTTCACTTAGCAGATCTAAAAACTGGAAAAAATATTTTGGGTTGACTGGAAAAAAAAAATCTAAATTTTCAGTGAACCCCAAAGTAAAAAAAAATAATTTTGTGTAGAATGAAATATTTTGTTTGACCAGACACTAAACATTTTGTTTTGATTTTTTTAAATAAATTATATATTTTTTAAAATAAAACTGAAGTAAATTTTGAAACAAAACGTTATTTTGAAGAGAGAAATTTAAATTCTTTGTTTCAAAAATGTCAAAAGGAAACATTTTGATGTTTTTCTGCGCCCCTCCGCCAAAACAATAGGCAAAATCTATACAAATTCACAAATTGTTTCAGTCAACCTGAATCTTAATTTTTTGGTGATAAAAAGTTTTGGTCAAAAAATTCATTTAGCTCTATTCATGACTATACCATAATATCAGGTGATTGGGGGGAGGGATAGCTCAGTGGTTTGAGCATTGTGAGTTCAATCCTTGAGGGGGCCACTTAGGGATCTGG